CCAAGTATACTATTTTAAGGGAATGCGATTTTCGAAATAACGCCCATGTGCGCTATTCCGCGGTAATACGGTATTCAAAACTTCAAAATCTCAAGTGTCGACTGAATCTACAAATACAAAAAGACCCGTTAATAAAATAACGAAAATTATTTAAAACTATAGTAATAGTTGCAACACGCAAGAAGTTCAAAATTTTATTAATAACATTAAAAAGAATGAGGAAAATGTGGAAGTCTACAGTGGCATGGAAGCAGAAGAAATTTATGACAATGATCAGGTCAGTAAAAAGTAGTTCATATTTGCTGTTGTTATCTGCATACATTTTTGCTTACTGAATTAAAATTTTAGGAATGACCAGGAAAACGACTTAAAAAGGACGTTGTAACCGATGAAGAAATTGCATCCGATGCATTCACAAATGAAAATGCAAATGATATCTCGAATGTCTTCGATATTGATGATAATCAAATGCGTGAGTTGGTGAGTTGTGATCTTTAGTCATTTGTGCTATTTGAACCAATTTTACCAACCCATTTTTCGACTTACTTATTTGAAAGTACAATCTAGGTGTAACTTAAAAATTAGTTTAGATTCGTTTCTGTATTTTTTTTTATTTTTTTTTTAAATATTTCATCGATGTAAGGAAATTGAAAGTGGGTCAGTAAAATTGGTTCTCTTTTCATTAAACAACATCTTACCGTTTTGAATTAGGCTATTGAGGATGATCTTGAAACATCGATAAACGAAGGAGAGGATAGCCTTGTGAACGACCGTGCGGACGGCGCTGAACATGATCAGGAAAGATGGATTCTTTCCACAAGGAAAGATGTCTATAAGACTTTAAATGATTACAAGAGAACAAAAGTTAGAGCGACAAAGGCGCATTTATAGTAAGCATTTATAGTAAATATCTGTTCTTTAGGTTACATATGCTTATTGACTTTTCTTTATCAGTCCCACGTATTTTGGGATTCTTGATTTAACTGGTGATGATCCAGAAGTTAGAGAGTTATTCACCAACGAAGAATGGACCGAAATTCAGGAAGACTTCAAACTTATAGCGAAGCTTATGGAAATGGATGCAACGGAGAAGATGGTGCTATATGAGTTGTTCAATAAAGTTGAAGAGGTACGTTAATATGTGCCATGTTTTGAATTCATTCTCTATGTAATATGATTGGCTGATAACTGACCTTATCCAGGTACTTCAGCAAAAAATCAAACGATATTGTCACCGATATAGAGGAATGTAGAATTAAGGTATGTTGTCACTTAAAATAATTATTAAATCATTAAAATTCTGAAATATGCGTTTTAACTTTTAGGGTCACCCAAAAATAAATGTTATACGAAGAACAATACAGACTTAGTAAGGTTTCCTCTTGACGTTTGTTTTCACATTGTGTTACTGTTTATTTACCTTATTATTTACAAAAATGAAATGCAGTTCCTACAACCTAGATAGGATCAAAAATTCTATGTCCGAAGGCTCTTTCTCGAGTAATTTTACTAACATGATGACGAAAGGAATAATCACATACGATCAGAAATTTAATTATGACGAGTAATTTTAATTTTGCTTTTTTTTTTTTTTTTTCCTGAATGTATTAATTCACTTATCGTATTTCTAGAAGTGAAATCCAGAGTCTTGCGTCAGCTATGATCGCAAATCTAAATAAAAAGCCACTCGTAAGATCATTAATCGGACAACGTTGTGATTTCCGAATCACCTGTGATGGCTATGAAGCAGTAATTGGGCTGCGATCAGGAGGGTTATCAGAAGCCTGCAATTCGAAAAAATGGGGTGACAAGGTTGATCTTATGGTTGCCATGAGAGATGTTCTACTTAAAGAAGCAATCGAAAACAACGGAGTAGAGTGTAGAGACTTTAGAAAATTATATACGCTTGGCGTACATACATACGGTAAGGCTTGTATTATGGACTTTGTGTGTATGAAAACATTGGTTTCTGAGGAATTTTGTGGGACATTAGGTTATCATTACAACTTGTATGCATTGGATTGGAGAGCCAAAGGTCTATGGCGTTTAGGCCTTTTGAAGAAGATAAGCCTACCTCAATCTAACGACCAACTATTAATGATAGAAAAATTGACAACATTACTTTTGCGAATTGAGGTTTATCTTTTATCATATTCTACCGTTCTGTTGGTTGTATTAATGAAACTTTATCTAATTTTTTTTTATAGTCAACATTAAAATACATTATGTCAATAAGAAACGAACTAGCAGTAAAGGCATCACGGTTGTATCGAAACCGACGGAGTTCAACATTTCCTAAACCATACACATTTACTGAGAAAAAGCGTGTAAAACGCACGCGTGTTCGAAAAAATGATTAATCGTTGCTTATTGATGAAGAAGAATTCGCAAGCATTACTAATATGTTGGAAATATCTAAATAGTGGGCAATAATTGATTGTGTGGATTGTATTCTACTATGTTGGTGACCTGTTAATGTTAGCAGTAAGTAATTTTTAATTCCTAAATCTTCAATTTTATTTTCTTTTCTGGTTTGGTTGTCTAAAACTAATTGTACTCTTTACAATGTTATTTATTTATTATGATAAAAATAAGATTTAAATTTTGCATGAATGAGTAATAGTGAATACTTTGACAAAAAAAACTTCTTATTAGAACGTGGAGAATTTATCATTGTAGAATTCCAGTATTAATTTCGAACGTAAAATAGAATTTCAATATATGAATTAAATAAAAATGAAATCTAGAATTCACACAAAAAAAATTCTTTATTAATATATGGGATCTTTTATTATGTTTTTCTTAATAAAAATGTCGTGTAACAATGGCTCGTAGGGTCATTTTCCTAGCAAAGATCCCATATATCTTTGCAAAACTCCTTAGAGAAAATTTTCGATTACATGATAAACTTTAAAGTTGTTTATTAGGTATCTGCTTTTATTTTTCGATATAATTCGAGAATGTAACATTTATTCTAAAAAATTCAGATCGTATAGCCCAAGACTGGCTCGGACCGATCTTTAAAAACAGCCCATCTGTTTCAGTCCAAGACCGGTTTTTACAGGACCGATGCAACCCCAAGATCGAGATTATACTTCCATTTTTAATATTTCACCCCATTTTTAGATGTTATTGTGCAGTGCAGATCTATTGAATACTATGTGATCCAAAAAATGAAATACAGTAAGTTTAATGGGTATCCGATTTCGCGCTTACTAATGGTCAACTAATGGGAGTGTCTAAGGACTCCCATTTCATGAATAACACTTTAATTGATCGATTCATATTAATCGAATAATCGACCAACAGTTAATTGCAGATCGATTTCCGATTTATTTTTTTTATACATTTTTTAAAAAAAATCTTTTCTTCACATGAACACCAGCTCACTGCAACTGCGATTCGAACCTTGTTCAGTCAAAATCCTTGATATGAGAACAAGTATCCATTGATCAAATTATTACAGCTCAGGATTATAATTAACTCTGGCTTATACTTTTGTGATAGACCTATAGGTTTATTGATAGCAGAAAATTACATAATAAAAACTTGGTATATACATAATAGTTGCTAGAATATTCGGACATTCTATAAAATATAACGTGAAATGAGGTTCTTCTGCTAACTAAAATGACCAGATAATATCACACTTTGATAAACCTATTGAACAAAGTGTAATCACTGAGAAATATTAGGTTATATGAAATCTAATTTTAATTATCGATATTGTAATTACACCTTTCCACAACTATAAAATACCAAACATAATAACTACGATCGAGGCAATAAATGCAAAAGAAAGAGCCTAGAGAATGTAAGCAATGGGTGGAAATAGAGATAAGTTAGGAAGGTGACAATAATTTTGCGTCGTACAATGAACGCACACTAGAGGTATTGTGGAATAAATGGACCAAGCGAAAGGATCGAAGAAAGACTGCATACTGCATTGGGGTGCAGGTGATATAGTATAATCATTAATAGCGTAAATAAAAACATATAAAATTTAAATTGCAATAACTCTTTAACAAGCAAACCCACATAAATAAAATTATATTTTCGGGTTTCATTTTAGTATACTCTTTAAAGTAACAACGCCTTTTTTTTGTTTATTTAATTTTTTGAAGCATAACGGAGGGCTCAGTTTTCATACAAAAATGCCGTTTTTGATATATTTATTAATAAACCATCAAAAACGTAACCTTAAATCTATTGTCGATCACTATTGCATAATACAATACGAGAAGACATTTTTGATGTTTTTATTAAAAAAATATCAAAAATGACATTTTTGTATGAAAACTGAGCCCTCCGCTATGCTTCAAACAATAAAATAAATAAAAAAAGGCGTTGTTACTTTAAAGAGTACGCTAAAATGAACCCGAAAATATAATTTTATTTTTGTGTGGGTTTGCTTGTTCAAGAGTTATTGCAATTTAAATTTTATATGTTTTTACTATTTACGCTATCACTACGCCACTAATTATAAAAAAGGATTTTCACTATGCACCTGCACTATGTTTGTAATTAGATATGCATTAGACACCCCAATACTGCATGCGAGGTGAAAAAGCTGCATATGGTGTCAGCAATTATTTATAATTTATATTTTGTACCGAAAAAAAAATAATCAGTCGGTTAAAGCTGTTCTCATAAATTCTGGACAAATTAAAAATTTGTTCGTTTCCCGAAATCTCTTCGGTTCGTCCCATGAATCAGGAAATTACATCGCTATCTTCGTACTTAAATTCTGAAAACAATGACGTGATTTCCGAAAAGTTAGGTGACCTTTAGGACGAAGCCAAAGAGTCCCAGAATTTATGAGAACAGCTGTAACCGAACCGAATTTTTCAAAGTCAATCAGTTACGATAAGAGTTGGGCAGCCGTAAAAAAAAAGTTATCGTTATACATAATTAATCCCATGCGATGAACTGCTAAGGGTTAACCGATTACAGTAAGCATTTTACTTAACCAGCTCAACCGAATTTGTACAACTCGGTTCAGATACATCCAATCGGTTCAAAACACTAATATAAAATATATAACACGATTTAAGAAAAAATCTCTAAGTTCATATCGATATAGAGGTTGGAAACGGTTTTAATCACGTGAATTTTGGGATATTTTAGAAATTTATCCAATTAAATTTTAATAAATTCTAAAATATCACAAAATTCATGTGATTATTAAAACCGGTTCCAACCTCTAATCACAACCCCAATCCAAAATAAATCTCTATTGCAAGTTCATTATCAAATTTATAATCATCTAAAGCCCTTTTTCCAGTAGTTATTTCCGTCATAATGATCCCCAACGAGTAAATGTCAGAAGCTTTTGTAAACTCTTCACCGTTTAGAACCTCAGGAGCAATATAAGGTAAAACACCAAATATTTCACCATTTTTTACAGACAATGTAAGACCTAAATCTGCAACATACGCATTGTCTATATCATTTTGTAAAATGTTGCCACTATGCAAATCTTTGTGAATGTATCCTTGAGAATGAATCGCTTCAAGATCTGAAGTTATGCAATGTAACAATTTTAACTTTTTTCTCCAAACCATTTGTGCTACATCGTAAAGATTTTTATTTAAAGATTTCAATCTAGCATATTCTAAAACAAGAACGTATTTTCCTTTGTCATTTTTTGATACACCATAGCATTGTAAAAATGACGGATTCACATCTCCAATTTTACAATATGCTCTCAACTCCTTTACAAATTCTTTATGATCATCTGAATCAAGTGTTTTAAGTGCAACACACATATGTAAATTGGTGCTTTTATCATACCAACTTGCAAAATATATAGTTGCGAATCTGCCTTTATCTATTTCTTTAACGTCTTTAAATTCTTCATATGGAATCCATGGTAATTGATAAAACGTACTTTTTAAATCGTCATCGACATCAGATTTATTATAGACAAACTCGTATTGAACTATAAAGATATAATAATAAATATAAATTTGCTAACTATTAATTTAATTGAAAAAGTATATATAAATTACCTTTCATCATATTTCTTGCTCTAATCATTGAATTATTTAGTAATAAGTTAATTTTATAGTATAACAGCAAAATAAGTAAAATCAATGCCTACCTTTTATACCAGTAATTTGATTTTTGTATATCTCTCTCTATTCCAACTCCATTTCAATAGCATTGAGCAACCCTTGATGTTCCAATAAAATGACCAATTTCTGCAGCTTTTTGAAAATATTCGAAAGCCTTGCGCTCGTCCTTTTCGATTCCAATTCCATAACGATAACAATAACCAACGTTGTTTATTCCATTAGCATCATTCATCTTTGCAGCTTTTTGATAATATTCGAAAACCTTACGTTCGTCCTTTTCAACCCCGACTCTAGAATGATAACAATAGCCAACCTGACATATTCCATTAGCATCACCCATCTCTGCAGCTTTTTGATAATGTTCGAAAGCTTTTCGTTCGTTCTTTTCAATTCCGATTCCTTGCTCATAATAAATGCCAACCATAAATATTCCACAAGCATCACCCTTTTTGATAATATTCGAAAGCCTTACGTTCGTCCTTTTCAACTCCGATTCCTTTCTCGTAACAAAGACCAACTTGATACATTCCATAAGCATCTCCTATCTCCGATAACTTTCGGTAATATATGAATGCCTTACGTTCATTTTTTTTAATAAATAAAAAACCGTGGTGATAAAAATAGGCTACAAAAAATAATATCTCTCTATAGTACTGAAATGGAAGATTTACAAAGTATGCGGTCAAAAATATTCCGTTAAAAAGTATATATTGTAAAATTCCATGTTGATAAAAGCTAGATTGCATAGCTATAAGGAATATAAAAAATATTATTCGTTCTTTATACATTTCAATCTCTTATTTCATCAGAAAATTACAGATTTAACTTGTATAATACAAATTGTATTTATACGTAACATATTTCATACGTGCACAAAAAACGCCAACCCATTCACAAGTATATAGCAAACTTTCATATTTCTATATATGCGTCTCTCATCTGAAAATGTGTACCAGGTTGGTGCACCATAGTGGCTATTTTTATATGTTGATGATAATATTGTTGGTATAGTTGTTTTATCATTTTTATTATACAGTACGTAAAATAAACAACGAAATTGTTTCTTAGTAAAACACAAAGCTCGTGAGTATAGGTTTAATCGTGGAAAATATCTAGGCCTCTGGATTTAACATCAACTGTTCTACTACAACAAATAAATTTTCCGTTATTAAAAGTTTATAAAAATTATCATTGTTAATCAAGTTGTTTTTCATTTTATTAAAATCCTTTTCAAATAGAAATGGAACAAGAATTAAGGTTCAACTTTCTTAGTACAAAAAAAAAAAAAAAAAAGTGTAAGAAAAAAAGCAAAAGAAAATATAATTATAAAACGCAATATACAGTATAAGCAATGTAATAGGTTAAATGTTTTTATGCTTTTATGTGATATATTTAAATTTATTTTTTCATATATTATCGTTAGTAACTAATAATTTGAGATTTATTTTATTGATTTCGCTAATACTATTTAACACAGTGGCGCATCAATCTGATAAGTCCGTACATATTTTTCGGATGCGTCACTCTTTATTTCGTATAAATATAGTGCGTGCATAAAAATATTTACTAATCTATGTATTTTAAAACCATAATTTAGAAAATTAATAATAGAATTAACTCCGTAATTGAAAACTATAATAGGAATCAATTGCGAATACACCATCTGTTGCAATTTCAATTACAAATTATAAGCTTAAAATAAATGTGACACGAAAAATACTGCAATAGGACACAAATTCCCATGTGCGTATTGTAAATGGCAAAATTGTAGTATATGTTGGTCCGGAGTATCTGGAGACACAAAGCCGGGACTGGGACGGGTTGGACTTCACCCAACTCCATTTAACAACTCTACCGGCAAGACTCTTAAAAGGATACACTAGCATTATGTAATTTTAGTAGTGCATCCCCAGCAATAAAAACTATATATGGCAATGTAATTCGTTTCAAATTCAATTAGCAAATTTACTGTAAATCTAAAAATGATAATGATCGTCTAAAAAAAAAGTTAACTTTATATTGTTATAATTCAATTGTTTATACTAATTTGGTTTTCTAGATCTTAAAATGTGCATTAGTATGTATCAAAAATAATATTATTCTTAATTATTAAGATTGTTGTCATATATGCAAACTAAACTAATATTAAGGTTTCCCACCTATTGTCCTACTATTATAACATTTAATTTTATATGCAAAAAAACGAAATAATTCTTATATAAATCGTATGTGGTTTCTTTTTTATCTGATTATAGTAATTATTCTTCGCATGCTGGCGGCGAAGACCATCCTTGTATATTTTGTTTTATTAAAAAAAAAAAACTTTCATTAAAATAATATATTAATATTTTTCTTAATTCTCTCCTTAATATATATATATATGTATGTAAATAATTTTACCATAACACATGATATGGGTAACGAATTGTCACGTAAAATCTCTTACAAAAAGTCTACAATCAAAAAATTTAAACCTCGTCGCATCACCATACCTACCATCCGTCGTAGAAATCCGTCTTCGAACTCCACAATGTACGCTCACCACGACCTTCACCAATCACCTCAATCCTCTCAAATAAAATGTAGGCACTTTTTCCGTTTTTTTGATGATCAAGGATGGTGTAAAACATGTACAATAAATGGTTGGTCGAGTGGTCTCCAGGATCTTGACAAACTAATTAAAAAAACTCAACGAAAAGCTACTAAATGGTCAGATAATTATTTGGAGTGGATTGATTTTAATCAATTTGAGGATTTTAAAGAGATTGGTGAAGGTGCATATAGTGTAGTTTATGAGGCTACGTGGTTGAATGGTCGAAGATGTAAAAGAGGAAAGAATGAAAAGGGAAGACGATGTTCAAGAACTGAACCTATTAAAGTTGTGTTAAAAAGCATAAAAAATTCTAAAAATATGTCGAGTTATTATATTAAAAGTGTAAATACTTATTTTATTATGAAATTTACGATGCAGTTTATTATATTCACCTAACGAACGTACTTGCACATTTATATTGTAGTTAAAAGAATACTATCGATACAGCGCACTAATATGCCCTCAACGGATTCAAAACTATTTAGAATTCTATGGAGTAACACAAAACCCAACTTCTGGTGAATACTTGCTAGTAATTCAACATGCGACTTTCGGAAGTCTACGTCAGTTCATGCATTCTTCTCCTTCTACCTTCGCCTCCTTCAAATGGTCCGAAAAACTTTGGTGGTTATGCGATATCGCTTCTAATCTCCTCGTAATTCACAAATCACACCATATTCATGGAAATTTACATACTGGTAATATCCTCCAAGTCGGTATGGACGAACGAGAGACCTATTCGACGATAGCAGATTTAGGATTGTGTATACCAGCTAATAGTACTTCATCGATCGCTACATGTGAGAAATCATTAAATGGCAATAATTTAATTTATGGTGTGTTACCATTCATTGCTCCAGAAGCTTTACTAGGAAATCCAGTCAGTAAATATTCAGATATTTATAGCTTTGGAATTATTATGACTGAAATTGCAACTGGCAAGCTACCTTTTGGTAATATTCCACATGATGAAAATTTAGCTTCTGAGATCTGTTATAAAGGATTAAGGCCACAGATTCCGAACGCACTTGCACCAAAACGTTTTAGAAATTTGGTGGAACGCTGCTGTCATCCGGATCCATTGGAAAGACCTACCGCAAAACAATTGAAGTATATTTTCGATTATTGGTATCAATGTGCAATTGGAAATTTGAGACGCGATTCTAGGTGTATTAAGATCATGAACGAATTTTTAAGAGCTGATGAACAAGCTAGTATATTATTTCAAGAAAATGAAATGTTTGAGCAAGAAGAAGAAATGAAGGATAAAACTTGGTTCACAAGTAGGTTATGGACTTTTAAATTGAATAATGACTCTACTACTGAGTTAATTACTTCAACAGAAATTATGGAGAATTGGGAAATGCAGCAATCACAGGAATCTGAACAAAATTCACAACGCATTACTACAGAGCCTGAAAATAATACTTCTAATGGTACCTATGTTTATCTATCTTATTTAATAATAATTATCTTTTTTTTTCCATTATTAAAGCTCACTTTATTTTTATTGTGTAGGGCCTTGAATGCTAGCGAAGTTGCAAACTTTCAAATTTTGAAGTTAACTACTGTAAACTAACTCTATATACTGTATACATATATATTTTTTAACTTTTTTTTTTTAATTCTTTATATGTTATAGTTATGTTATTTCAAAAAATATTACACATGTAATAGGATCATATTTACTTTTCTGTTTTTAAACTTTTGCAAAAAGGTTATTTTAAATAATAATAATTGAACTTACTAAACACACCAGTGGTGTCTAATACTATCTCAAGAGCTAGATAAATGATGAATATCTGGTGCTCAAAAGTAAAATACTTAGTGCTTTTAAAATCTTTTTCAACTCTGATTGTAACCTTAATTTTATCCAAACTTTTAATTCTAATTTTAAATTTTCATAATAAATTTTTAAAAATATCTATGATACGTACTGTATTTAACGTTATTAACAATGATAACAATCCAAATTAAAAAAAAAAAAAAAAGATAACGTTCTAACACTATTATTTCTTCTTTAAATAACAGCCGAACAACAAGAAGAAAACCTT